CATGCTAGCTACAAGTGGCTAAGGTTGGCCAGAGGCTGGCTACGGCTTGGCCGGGCATGGCTAAGAGCATCGAGTCAGTGGCTTAGTCATAGATCATGGTCGAGGGGTGCTTGGAACCATATGGTGGCATTCTAGGGCATCGTACGTGTCTTGCGCGAACGGTGTGAGCGCAAGCAAAGAGTGGGCTCTTCAATTTCGAGGGGTCAGAAGTACTTAAGGGGTGGTCCACATCGTAGGGCTCGATTTTAGAAAAATGTGGGAACTGGTTTCACATTTTTCTGAGGTCGTATGAATTTTCTATGATTTTTCGAAGATTAAATTCATTTATGAAAATAATAAAGGCTGATTATTTCAGGGCTGACACGTGTCACACAGTGACTGGTCCACGTGGCATGCTGACGTCAGCATGACGTCAGCATGGCGTCATCAGGGCTAAACCGTGGCTGACAGGTGGGTCCCGCTGACGCCAGCATGACATCATCATCTCGGTTGGTCACTAACAGGTGGGACCCGCATGACGTCAGCATGACATCAGCATGACGTCACTTACTGACGTGTGGATCCAGAGTCTCTGTGCCGCTGACATGTGGGGCCATGTCAACGTTGACAGGTCAACGGTCAACCAGGTTGGGTCTCGACTGGGCTTTGGTGGGCCTGGACGGGGCTGGATTTGGGCCGGGCCGGCCCGGACACGTGTCGCGCGGGGAGGCCATCCACATGGCTCGGTCTGGGCCCTTAGCGGGTCGGTCCACACGATGCTGGTCCATGGTGGACCACGCGGTGTGGGTCTATGGACCACAGAGTGGGTCTGTGGTGGACCGCGTTCACCTTCTCCTTCTTCCTCTTGGTTCACGGTGTACATGGTGCACTGAACTACTGTCCCGGCCACTCCCCTTGCTTTCCCGCATGGTGGCACGCCCGCCGGCGGCGAGCGGCCGTTCTCTAGCCACGGTGGCTCCTCGGCAGCGTTCTTAGGCTCAACCGAAGACTTCTCAGCCCGCCCTTGCCCAGCGAGGTGGCCGTGCGATTGGGATCGCAGTCGGCATGACAGCGCTCTGGAGCGCGGCTCCACCGACAAGGTAAACGTGAGCAGCTCCCTCACGTGGCTCTCTTCCTCCATCTTGCTGTGTGCGGCGCGTCCCTTGCCAAGGCGAACAAATAGCCCACCCTTTTCTCGCTTCTACCGGCCAGACACGGCAAGAACGGAACCTCGCCATGGTGAGCTCTAGCCATGGCGGGCATGCTCCGCAATGCGTCGCCCCTCCAGCGTTCCTAGGCCCTCGGTGCACAGTGCGGTCCGTGGTTGGGGCGGTAGGTGTGCGTGCGTGTGTGTAGGCAGGGTACAGGGGTCAGGGCCTCCTCTTGCTCGTTCTCGATACGGAGACGACGAAGTGATGCCCGTGAACACTACGGTAGAGAGCCGGGAGGGTGCCGGGGCTCACCGTAGGTGGCGATGGCGAAGGGATATTGATGCAGGGTGAGTCGAGGCAGTGTCGAGGCGAGGCTGTGCCGTGCCGAGCAGCTACTCCACTGTAGCCGATCGGGTCGTCACCTTCCGTTCCCGTGGCTCCTCTTCGGTGGCTCTGGTAGAACCCTCTCTTCTCTACCCCCCTTCTCCCTCCTTCCCCTCCTTCTCTTGGTCGCGACGGAAAGTGGTGGCCACCAGGGCGGCGGCAAGGTGATGGGATACGGCTAGGGCACCACAGTGGTGCCTACTTATAGGGAGGTGGTGATCATGGCGAGGTGAACGGCGGGAAGGGGGCTTAGGGCCACATGGAGGCGATCAGTGCGCTTATGCTAGGGTTAAGGTCATGGCGTGGTCGTGGGTTGCCTTGACGCCTCCGTTTTGGCGCAACAACCTGCCCAGGCTTCGTACGAGGGTGCCAGAGGTGGTTGCAAGGGCGCGGGCCACAGCAATGGCGTCATGGCACAGATGGCTCCAGCTAGGGGCGGTAGCAGTGCGGATAGGCGATGTGGCGTCGCATCCACGCGTTCGCTGTCAACCGACGTGAAGAGAACGGCTGGCGATGGAGATTCCACCTCCTCTGTCCTGACTCGGACGCGAAAAGGGGGTGAAGGCGCGAGGAGGACGATGACAACGGGGTCCTAGCTGGCGGTGACCAGGAAAAAGGGAAGAGCGGCTCCCAGCTGGGCTGAGTTGGGGCTCGGTGTGGGCAACTTGCGGCTGGCCAGCAGAAAGAAGGGGAAAGGGAGTGCTGGGCCAAGCAGGCCGCGCGCGCGCGAGCAGGCCAGAAGGGAGGAGTGGCAAGCTGGGCCTGCTGGCGCCTTGGGCTGAAATGGCTTCCCTGTTTACCTCCCCTCTTCCAATTTCTTTTCTATTTCTTGCTCCATTATATTTACTTCCGAGTGCTCTAGGTTGGTATATATGTGTCGCCTATCACGTGTTCACTCAGGTGGGGTCCACTAGGGTCTACTACAGGTCTAGGGACTCCGGTCCAATGGTTGGCACAAATATAAATGGCAAGTCTGGGTTCTAGTGGGGTTCGGAATTATAGAGAGATTCACGGAAGACTCGAAATAATCCCGCGAGGATCACAAGGAGGTTGCTATGGGTTGTGCTCTCCAACAATAATCAAGGCTCAAACACAGGACAACTTGAAAACTCCGGCAATCACCTACAAACCATCTACATGTATGCAACGTCTTGTTAGCGAGTTGGACTCGTGTTTGACCTAGCAATTACATGTTTCACTTATTGCAGAAATTTTTTAAAAAAAGTTTGTATTTTTGGCTTCTCTAAAAACCCGGGTTGTTACAACCGGCTAGTAAATTTTTAGTTTGCGTGTATGGCCCGGATGGTGTGCTCGGAGGACACAAGGATTATACTGGTTTGGGCAGAACGTCCCTATGTCCAGTCTGCTGCTGCTTGTGTTACCGGCACTATCTGTAGTAGGGGTTATAGATGGGCGAGAGAGGGAGCGGATCTCAAGTCTCTGGTGGAGGGATTGAAAAGTGCTGAGAGCTTGTTCAGCTGCTCAGCCGTATGCCCGTGCCTCCCTCTCTCTTGTGTTGCGTTGTGTTCCTCCTTTTATAGAAGAAGGGGAAGATGTAGGTTACATCAGAAAAAGAGAAGAGAGAGAGAGAGAAAGAGGGAGAAAATCAAGGAGAAGAAGCCCTCTAGGACTGCCGCGTCCTTCTTCTCCTTCATGCGGGTCCCACTGACGCTGTAGATGGTGACGGGGATGGCTCCATGTCGGGCTCCTATTCACCATTGGTGCCATGCCTCGACGTCATCAGCTGGTCGTGGCGTTCCATCCTGTCCCGACGGACGGCGTGGTGAACCGACGCGCCTGTCAGCGGCCGTACGGGGATTAGGCAACACAGCGCCCACACACCCGTCATTGTTGGCGATGCGAACCCCGGGGCATGGCCTGTCTTGGCCACGGGTCACGTCAAGACGTGCCTGCGCCCCATTTGTGTCAGAGGCTTTACCCAGGCCCACACGCTTGGACCCGTAGTGGTTAGGGGTGGTACGGACCCCACGCCCGAAGGGTCGGACGAGACGGAGCCCTCGCTCGAGGGGTCGGGCGAGACGGAGCCCATACCCTCAAGGTCGGGCAACACGGGGCCCGTGCCCGAGAGGTCCGGCGAGGCAGAAACCATCCCTTCGGGGTCGGTCGAGACTGAAATACATCCTTGATTATCTAGGCGAGTTGTCGTCCGCGGTCCTCACATCCTTTCTTCGAGTATCCCTAATACTGACACCCGACAATGTGGTTGTGATACATATACAGCTGTCATGTTACAACATTTTTATATAGATAAATAACTATAAGGATAGGGTTTCATATTTATTTCTTTTAACAAATTTGTCACGTACAAAATGTTTTGATTATGTTACGTGCATGTTTTTTTCTTGTCGATACAGGTTCGGCTTTGTTCACATTAAGAAATAATGTATATAAAATAATGTTAATCAAGTTAGTATGTAATATCCAAAGTTGCAAAATAAAAAAAAAAGATTTACCATATCTAATAGATCATCACGCATCAATTAGATCTAGACAAATATTTTTATATCTAATACTTTCCTTATTTCACATATTACCTCTTAGGAAGTAATAGATGATATCAACACTCCGATCCAATTAAATGAACGGCTCACAGTTACTTGGGGTACCACAGCAAGGCCTCGTTGAATATATTTTTATAATAAACTTATTTAGAGATATAAATGTTACATGCATTTTCTACAAACCTAGTTAAAATTTAGAAAGTTTGACCTGCACATATCTCATAATGTCTTTTTTAGTTTTCTAGGACGGAGGGAGTATATGTTTATCATTATGAGGTAAACAAATTTTGCTATTTATATACAGCTTGTTTCTTCTGTTGTGTTGGCAACTAGAGCTAACTAATGTTACCACACATTGTTGACTAAGCTAGGCCTTAGCTTCGCCACACTTTTGTAGCAAGAAAAATAGCTAGAGCTAGGCAAGAAATCGAAGTCTATAAAATATGAATCACGTGGTTAAAAATTAGAAAAACATAGTTGTGATAGTAACCAAACACTATCTACTAAAACCATGACAGCCTGAGGTTATTAATTATTTACTCAACCGTGCCATGAGGCGCGTTTTTCATTAAGAGGAAATAAATTGAGCAAAACTATCCGAATACAACACGGCAATAGGAGATTACCGGCGCAAGAGAAAAAAGAACAGCTTCTGCACAAGCGCAGACACTGAAGCAATGAGGAACGTGCTCTAAGGTTATTACTTATTAGGACTATGTGCCAAATTTATTTGTCAACTCACGATACTCGTGTGGTTAAAAACAACTAAAAACCATTATACTCCTTCCGTTCTAAATTATAAGTTGATTTGACTTTTTTTACATCCAATTTGCTATGTATTTAGATATAGCATATGTCTAGATACATTGATTGGCTTCTTTTATATTGTACTTATTAAAAATAAAAAGAAACAAAGCGTAACCAAAATCAATTATTAAATGTGTTTCTCAAATTGAAAATGCAGATACAGATTGCCTAAGAAATGGTCCTGTTCCATCTAATCCGATCCATGGAACCAATCACATGGTAAGACAAGGACGAGATGTAACACCAGGGACAAACAAGTCGATCATAGGTATTTTCCTTGTACCCTTGACCTGGAGGGAGGTGAAGAGTTTGGCTCTTGTAGTGTTCATTGGAGAGACTCTGGTGACGTTCGCTTTCGTGTTGCTGGAAGAAAGTGGCCTAGACGACCACCTCCGAAAACTGACCGACTTCATTGGCTGCGTGCATCTGGTTACCGTGGTGGTCATTTCATCAGAAGGCCTATACGGCTTTGGTGCTATCGTCGACAGGGCATGGAAACTCGTGGTTCCCAGATACCATGACCTCTCCGTTTTTGGTGTAGCGTTTGTATTGACGCAGGAAGCTCTGGAGTATGCTTTGTGGATGACATTTTCTCAGGGGCAAGAGAAGGAAGTGGAGGCAGCAGTTATCAGGGAGGACACGGTTGCCGAAATGTTGCAGTTCTCCCTCGTCGCAGCCTTTGTGGCTGTCATTATGCAGTCATTCGCGTGCTCAGTGATCTTGGCGTTCTACAAGGAAAGCATTAGTATCTATGAACAGCACCGAAGTACAGCCGAAAGCATTAGTATCTATGAACAGCACCGAAGTACAGCCGTGGTGAGTAGTGTATATATGCATCCATGCCTCTGTTTGGTTCACTACCGAAGTTTGCCCACCCACGCTACATCTTTCGCGCCTGGCTGTCTGCCAGGGGCTAAAGTTTAATCGTGTCACATCGGACGTTTGGATGCTAACTAGGAGGATTAAACATGAGCTAATTATAAAACTAATTACACATGAGTAGACTAATTAGCGAGACGAATCTATTAAGCCTAATTAATCCATAATCAGCAAATGTTTACTGTAGCACCTCGTAATGTTTACTGTAGCACATCGTTATCAAATCATGGACTGATTAGACTTAATAGATCCGTCTCACAAATTAGCCTCAATCTGTATAATTAGTTTTATAATTAGCCTATGTTTAATACTCCTAATTGGTATCAAAGATTCGATGCGACAAGGCTAAACTTTTGCCTGAGGGAAACAAACACAGCCTGCACTTGCGGCGCGCTGTAGGCTGTAGCGTACAACATCCCTGTTCATTTCTGCGCCGTGGGCTTTGAAAGCTTAGGACCTTATTTGTCCGCCAGTCAAATATTGTCCCACAACATGTTAGTCATGCTACAGTGTTTTTAGGTATATATATGTTTGGTTCACTACGGTAATTATGTTTTGGCATACTTTCTTAGCACCCTATTTCTCACGTTATAGATTCATTTTCTTACTAGATTTTTTCATAAATGTGGATTCAATTTTGATAGCTACACTTTTAGCAGCCAAAAATTATCAAAGTTTAGGTGTGACAATGTTTGGCAGCAAACCAAACATATGGCACAAATTACCAAACATGTTTGCCATTGGCGTGGGCTCGTGGTGTGGAGGAGCATCAAGTTTCTTTTTTTATGACATTGCATTAGTTTTACTAGTCTATCAATCCATTCTCATGTATGGGTTACAATCTTATATGAAACATAAGTGTTAAAAGCTCGTGGATAAATTTAGTACACAACTAATCTCATGTACTAGTCTATATATTTTCTGACATAATACCCATATAGATACTATGCACTAATCTCTACACATTTGTTATTCATTTTACAAATTACTATTCTATTTTCATCCATATTCATAGTTCTTCCACCTTGTATAGTATTTATATGTGTATTCAACATGTGCTCCATATGTCATGATGTCATGAATCTATATTTTGGCTTTTAAATTTTGATTTTATTAGTGGCTAACAAATTTTTATCCATATTTTAAGTTAAAAGTCTAGTGCGATTGCATAAATCTATCTAATGCAGCAAGTTACAAAATCTATTGCCATGGAGTTTAAATATAATGAAAATTAATTGTTACTATGTGATTTTGAAGGTAATAATTTTCATGATTACTAAACTAAACTTTAGAAATATATATTATCTTTTGTAAATTCATGTACACTTATTCTGCATTATGGCACACAACATGTATGTTTATTTCGAACTAGTTTTTAGTATATTAATAGTAATAGAAGTGGCTATTTAGAAACAAACAGAAGTGTATTTTATGGCTGGTTTACATAATAGTATGTGTTAGTTTTAGAATAAAAAATAAGGCAATATTTTTAGTATATATTTAAGGATGGAAAATGTGGGAAGTAGATGTCAATTTAAGTTGTTGCTTATATAATCTATACTCTATACTGACGACAAGGGTGGCTATTAGATGCAAACATATATAGGGGTTACCTCAGATTATTGCTCATGCATAACGATGGAGGGGATAACAAAAATAGATTATATGACTATTATTATCGGTGATAGTTAGAGTTTATGAAATGAAGGCTTTGATTTTTGTAAAGGGTTTTGGGATTTATTATTTCTTACTGCGTCTCTTGAGGGTTAATAAGAAGACTCCAATTAGCTCTAGTAGGATGGTCGCAATTAAATGCTCAAATTTTGCACTGGGTCAACACAAAACTCATTGATCTTATTATTCTTCACATCCTCTAACATTTTATATATCTCATTAACAATTCCGTTTTAGGTGAACGAGATTATAAAGATACAAAGACTGGCAAGAGAGTTCGCATCATTGCATCCTACACCTGAAACGGAAGTCTTTAAACGGGAGCTGTTACAGCATACTGGCATAGCCTTGGAGTACATGGGTGAGAGAAGGCCTATAGCAGCTGCCGTGGTGCAAGGAGCCCCTGGTACATCACCATCGCGTGGGAGAAGGGCAGGGGTAGAAATGCAAATGGAGAGAACTGGACAACAAGAAGGTGCGCGTCGTGGTGCAAGGACCAGGAGGCCGACAAATCGTGTCAATCAAGAGAATGAACCCTTTGAGATATAGTGGCTCCCCCAGCTATGTCAGAGTTGAGAGGAGTTCACTAATCCCAAGTGGCCAAGGGTTAAAATGAGGGATTGGCAACTAACTAAGGTCCTACTTGGAACTGCTCATGGCACGTTTGGAACCTGGGAATTTTATAAGAATCGTGCAGGAATATCATAGGAAACAATTCAATTTCACAGAAAAATGCGGGAATAGAAAAAATTTCCATGTATTCCAAACAAGCCCTCATTGAATAGCTTCTCTAAAAAAACGTCCCAAGACATCAATCATATAACTTTTGGAAATCTTTTTCTTGAGCGCGTTTTAGTAACTGCAATTATGCATGTGTATTGTACCATAACTAAAAAACGGTGTTATAAGTATGATCGTCGCAATATTATTCTGTTTGTAGACAATCGTCTCTATTACATGAGTATTGAATAAAGCAATTGCAATCACACAGAAGCCCCGGCCCAAGGCCCAATCTCTGGTTCTTTCTCCTTGCTCTAGCCTGAGCCCCGACTTCAGTATCTCTGTACATAAGGTCATGACAGCTAGATTATGTTGTATAAGGGAGGAAAACGGCAGGGAGTCCCCTCCAGGTCCTCGAGAAACCCAGCCTGCTGGCAGAACTCGACGGTCTCCACAATTGTTTCCTTTAGCGGCCTGACCTTCCATCCCAGCTTCTTCAGCTTATCGGACGTCATTGGAGCTGGGTGGTCCATGTCATAGATGCTCTCCCTACCAATTTTTGAAATCAAGTCAGCTATCCCAACTCCAGTATATGAAGGAACAAGAGAAGTGGTTAAGTAAGAGAAGGTTTACTTGCTAAGGAAAGGGTAATCATCAGGGTACATGCTCTTCAGCATGTCCAGCAGGCCACGGGCGCTGATGACATGAGGAGCACAGATGTGCCTGCCGGAGGCTTCGGGTGTCTCATAGACCAGCAGAAGAGCATCAGCAGTGTCCCGAACGTCAACGATGTGCCAAAGTTTGTTCCTCATTTGATCAGGTCCTCCTGCATTTAGATGAAAAGGTAGTATAACAGGATCAAGCCAAAGCAATAATACAATAAACTGTAACTTAGTGGATCGCCCTTCTTATCTTAAATATATATGAAAATATATGAATTCAGCGCATTGTTTGGTGATGTGTGACGAGAAAAACCTTTCAGGAAGTAGACGAGGAACTGGCAGCTTGTGTTGAGCGTTGGCTGCAGAAGAGGACCAAAGACCAGAGCTGGGTTGACAGTTACAACATCCAGCCCGGTTTGTTTCCCATGTTCAAGTGCAGCCTCTTCTGATGAAATCTTGGCAACAGAATACCAGTTCTGCAATTAAACAGGGCAAAGTGACGACCTCAAATTTGAAAATGAGTGACTATGGAGTATATTTTGAATCAGTTCTTGATCTGTTTATTAGGTTTTCCTTGTTTCCATTACTGCCGCCAGTTTACAGTACCAGTTTTTTTTTTTTAAGAGTGTTTACAGTACCAGTTACCTCATCATTCCTGCAGAATTCTTTATCTGACCAGCAACTCTCATCTTTGATCTTGTCTTTAGGCCAATCTTTCGGGTTGATCTCAACAGCAACCATGGATGAAACGACGACCACTCGCCGAGCATTTGCAGCAGAGGCAGCCTTGAGTACATTTATGGTGCCAGTAACAGCAGGACCCAGCATTTCTCGCTGAAAAGTTGTGCGCAACATGATATTGGAGCACAAAGTATGATAAATATAGCAGAAAGCTGTGACAAGAAGTTGGAATGCACATTGCTTTTGGACAAATGACATTTTGGTTCGCTTTATTTCAGATGAATAGCTAGTATCAATTTTTTTTTTCTAATGGAATGTCATAATCTGTCAATGGAATGCCATAAATATTATTTTCCTATCGCCATCCTCTGACCGTGACATATTTGCAGGTGTGTCATTTGTAGGATAAGCATTCATGTCTTTTTTTGGCCCAGAATGTCTCCTAAATCTTTAGTTGATTTTTGGGCAAAAGATCTTTAATTGGTTCATGAGAAAGAACTGGTTTTGAGCCTAACTATTTGAAGGAACCGGAGTTTTGAGTTGTGGCATGAGATGGGCTTTGCTTCAATACTCCAGCTGATTAAACGTAAACGAATGTTAAACATCTTACAGAAAACTTGCCTCTGGATCGGTTATTTTCCCTGAAGGAACTGGAGTGGCGACATGAAAGACTCCCTGGCATCCTGCGATCGCAGCTGCCATAGCATCATAGTCGAGGAGATCAGCCTTGAAAAGCTTGAGGTTTTCAGAAGCATTCTCTGACCGCTTCAGATGAGCGGTTTTCTTGTCACCTGAAACACAGGTACGACACAGAGCACAATCTTCAGCTCTCGAGGCTGTATCGGTAGTTTCCATTGAACTGCAAGCTGTCTCCGACTCTCCGTAGTGCACTTAAACAAAAATGAGCTGCTAAATACTCAGACGAGGGAGTTCTTTGTTATTACGTACTGAGGTCGCGGACGGTGCCGTGGACGGTGTAGCCGCGGGAGAGGAGGAGCTTGACGAGCCACGAGGCGATGTACCCGCCGGCGCCTGTCACGCACGCCGTCTCCGCGCTCCCCGCGGTTTCCTCTGTGCGTCCGGCGGACATCGCTGCTCAGCACCTCTCTTGTCGTCCACCGCTGCTCGTGTGAGGTGTGAATGTGAGCAGACGTGACAATGGATTACGATTCGAATCTATAGAAAAATCTAGTAAAAATATAAAAAATAATTAAAGTCCATTCCTACCCAATATAAAAAAGACAGGGTTAAAGCGCATACCGCTCCCGTCGCGTGTGAAGGTGAGTCCGCGACCCGTCGCCTAGGGAGCGGCGGTTTTACCATGCGAACAGACAGACGATGGCGGGAGAAAAATCCATGTGGATGTCGTTTTCAGATGACGTCGGGGGTGATGCCAACGGCCGAATTTTTTATTTTTCAGCTTTTTTTTTGAAAAATATTTACAAATAGAGCTATGGTGGTTTGATTTTCGTTTATGAACCCTGATCTCGGCGCCATGGCTTTTGGCGCCGAGGAAATACGTTTCGGCACCATGGACAATGGCGTCGAGGTCTTGGCGAGACGTCGAACGTGGCGGTGACCTAACACCGACATGGACGAGGCCTCGGCGCCATAGATCTCGGCATTGTAGATCTTGGCGCTGAGTTGTTACCCTATAGATCTTGGCGTTTGAAATGAAACAAGTATAATTGTTCCGAGAAACATACAATAACAGTATTGCGGTTCAGCTGGTTAGGACACGCGTGACTTAGCTCAAAGGCTTGAGTTCGAACCCAGCGCTGAATCTTTTTTTTTTGCTACATTTTTATAAGCAGTAGAACAAGAAAAATTATTTCGAGAAACATGCAATGATCCCATTGTGGTCCAATTGGTTTGGACGTACGGGTCTCAGCCCACAGACCTAGGCTTGAACCTAAGCAACAAATATTTTTTGTTAAATTTTTATTTTTATAAGCAATTACAACAAGAAATATTATTCCTTTATTATTAGCGTCCTAGGTTTCACCACACACTGTATATCATTGTTCCACCGTACACTGCATATTTAATTTATTTTTTATTTGATTTTGAAATATTACTACCTCGATCAAGTTGAGTTGAGTGACGTGTTTATATATATCTTGTTGCTTGGCCGTCCTTTACTTACATACATATGACTTTTGTCATCGTATATAAGTTGAAGGCTTCCGAGATCAGGAGTAAATAAATAAAAGAATTTATTTTACATTAAGTAAGTGTAACTTTCTTTGCCTCCCAATTTCAGTGTTGAGCTCTTTAATTTGCATACCTCCCTATTTTATATGAAATAGAATTAACAAGAAGAATGGGCTTAATGTATTAACTAAAAGCTCCATATTATCGTCATTTGAACTGTTCAACTAAGTTTGGTGAGGAACGGAGGATGATCTCCCCCTCATAAGAAAAACACAACTATCGAGGTATATAAACTAATAAATAAATAAATACATCCATGATTATGATAATATAAGGAGGATTTGGATTTAGATAATATATAAATAAATGCACCTTGAGATGTATCCTTCGTCTAAAACAAATTATAAATTAGTGAATAGTGTCCTCTCATGTTAATAATAACAAAGTTTGGTAGAACCTAGGACGTTAGTAATAACTAAGTAAGCAAAAAAATAATTAATAAATGCAGCAAACAAAATTTGCTAGCTGGATTTAAACCTAGGTCTCATGTTAGAGCCAAGCATCTTAACCGACTAGACTACAACTGAGATATAACATGTTTCTCGAAATAATTTTTCTTGTTCTATTGCTTATAAAAATGTAGCAAAAAAGATTCAGCGCTGGGGTTCGAACCCAAGCCTTTGAGCTAAGTCGCGCGCATCCTAACAACTGAACCGTAATGGCGTTGTTGCATGTTCCTCGAAAAAATTATACTTGTTTCATTTCAAACGCCAAGATCTATAGGGCAACAGCTCAGCGTCAAGATCTACGGCGCCAAGATCTATGGGGCCGAGGCCTTGTCCACGTCGGCGCCAGGTCACCGCCACGTCCGACACCTCGCCAAGACCTCGGCGCCATTGGCCATGGCGCCGAGACGTGTTTTCTCGGCGCCAAAAGCCATGGCGTCGAGGTCAGGGTCCATAAACAAAAATCAAACCACCAGGGGTTTATTTGTGAATATTTTTCAAAAAAATGGCTGAAAAATAAAAAATTTGGTGCCAACGGTTAAAAAAATGATTGTGTTTTCTTTCAAACTAGAAGACTTTCCCACGTGTTGCTGCGGTATTTTCTTAAAAATAAATATGTTACGTACATAGCATTACTATATTTAGGCTATTCCACTTGACTCACAACGGCACGGCTCAGAAACTAGTTCGTAGATTTCGTTTCAACAACTCGATCTTTTAAGTCGCTACTCTCACACAGAATCCCAAGTTCAGGGCCTTCGTTCTTGTGTAGACATACCGCTTTGCCAGTTGATGGTATTATGTATACTGTGTATATATATGAATTTTACTTGCATATTATTATATTGTATCAAATTTGGTAAAAAATTGATAAGCTAATAATAGAAGAAAAAACAATAGAATATTTGATTAATTATAGAGGAATAGGTGATGAAACAAAGTATTGCACGTGATAGAGATGACGTAGACATTTCTTATAATTAATAAGGGATGACATGGGCTTAAGTGTGGAATAATGTGGACACCTTGCATGAAGTGATAGAAAATCTAGTGGGTCACTTAGAGGGAAATGATGTGGACACCTTGAATGAAGAGAAAAATCATCTAGTGAGATTTAGCTTTATAAGAGTATATAGATCCGTTTGCACCATTGTGATCTCATCAAGTGAAAAATTGAGTGTTAACTTTGTGTGCTACCGTGTTCTAGCTTGAGTTTTCTTGAGTAGAAACTTGAAGATCCGTTACTCTTAGCTTGGTGATTGTTGCCATCGTCTAGATGACCCGGTGAATTCTTTTGGAGGAGCTATTGTAAGAGGCTCTAGAAGTTGTACATGATCTTGAAACCCACCATGACGAAGTGGCAAATGGATGCTCTCACATGGAGTAGGAGTTATGGCAACAACCGGAGACAACGAAGAAAAAAAAATCCGAGGAGAGACCTCCGTACTTGTGCTATTGAGTCCAAGGAGAGGAGGAGGTTTTGTACTTGTCCCTTGTCAAAATGAAATTTTTAATTATAGTGTTAAGTCAAACCCCCATGTGCATCGCCCCTCGTGCTTGGAGCTCCGCCGTCGTCCTCTGCTCGAAGGTCTACCGTCAACCTCTTGCTCGGAGCTTCATTGTTGCCCCCATGCTCAGCGGTCCGAGGCCACCCCATGCTCGAAGCTCCTCCGCCGCCACCCCTCCTCGGAGCTTCGCCTACCGCCCTTGATCAAGTCGCGGACCGGACCAACGCCACCGCATCCCTACGATGTTGCCCCATTCTGTCGTCTCCCGGCACTGCCCTCTTCCTCGGAGATCCGGCCACTCGAGTACTCATGCCACAGATGTGCCCCACTGGGAGCTCCGACGCCGCGGTCCGGTCCGCCACTTTTGTCATATATGTGATAAGCGAACAATTTTATTTATCGAGGCGGTTAGACCAACTGCTTTTGTCAAATTTCTAAACAACTAAAAATAAATATTTAAAACTCTAAACAACTTTAAATCAAAAGATTATTATCAACTAAAAACTTGTATATCAGGTTGGCCACTACAACTTTGATATTGTGTGAGCATTTAAAATTGTTCGGAAATACTAAATTTGAATTTTAAAAGCTAATAACATAAACACATATTTTGGACTTTAAACAACTTTAAATAAAGAACTTGTCAACTATAAAGTTGTATTGTATTAAGAACTAAAACTTTGGTTGTTTCAAAATTCAAAATTTTAAATTTCATAATCTGAAAACTTAAAATGAATTTTTGGGCTTTAAATAGTTTCAAATAAAAAACTATAAATTTGTAAATCACATCGAGATCTATAATTTTGCTATAAAATTTGTCTGTATCCAACTTTATATGGAAAAGTTTAAGTTGTTTTTGATACAATTATTTTTTAGAAGTGGGCCTTGCGAAGACTGTCTTTATTAATCGATTTTTAGAGACACATCTTAGAATGTTTACCTCTATTAATCAATTTTTAGAGACAGAGATGGATGTTTGTATGACATCCGCCTAACCATTTTCAGATTTCTTAGATCAAGGAATACGCAATATTTCAGCCTCCAGAATTCATAAGTGAATGAGTACTGTATAGCCGTTTAACAAACACACAGACATAGCACTTACACCCTCACCATACTGTGCTACAAAAGTTCAAAGAAACTATTCAACGAAAAGAATTATAACGCTACTTGCTTGATGTCCGGATGCAACGGAGGCATATGCCCATATCCAACTCAGCAGCCCACCACTTACCTTACCTCACAAAGTCTTATCCATTTGCTCCCGTCCTATCCTGTGGCACTCCTAGCCGGCGCCTCCTTCTCCTCTTCATCACCAATAGCTGATTCTATGTCGCGCCGCGCGCCCCACCCTGTGCAGCGGCGCGCCCTGCAGCTGACCGGTGCCTCCCCTAAGGCCATCGTCGCCTGAGCCCCGCGTGCCCCTACCCCGCGGACGCGCCCCGCGCCCAGCTTCCCCTGCACGCGGTGGCATGCAAACAGGCCGCCACTTGTGGCCGCTTGGCCACTGTCGTGGCAGCTGAGCCAGCCCCTGCCCCATCCACATGGGCACCTGCACCGCACCGTGCAACGGCCGGCCAAGCCCCGTCCGAGGCCGCGCCTCATCCCCACCAAGCTTGCTAGCTATCACAGTTCCTCACTGGGTAAGCCGTGGCCGCCGCCGCCGCCGTGTTTCAGGCGTTTCAGACTTATGTTTAAGTGTTTCGTTTAGATGTTGCAAAAGTAGATCTGGGATGTTGCATATGTTGCAATGATAATATTCGCATGTTGCAAGCCTATGTTTCAAGTGTTTCAGGCATTTCAAACGTATGCTTAAGCATTTCATCTGGACGTTGCATATGTTATTATGGTTGTACATGGATGTTTCAAGCGTATGTTTCGAGTGTTTCAGATGTTTCAGACTTATGTTACATGTGTTTCAT